CAATTTTGGTTTTTAATCTTTAGTTAGGCACAAGACCTGCGGAGGGGAGAAAAAAACAACAACTATCTCAACAGTGACCTCTCGTGGACATGTGTTAAAATGGCTGTCTCAAAAAAAAGTTGGTCTAAGACTGAAAGGAGTAGGAAAACATTTACAAGCTAACACTTCCACACACTATAAGAAGCAACGATAAGATTAAGTAGTCTGAAAAAGACTTAGCTAAGACTGGCTTACAAGGGAGGGTAATCACAAAGACAGAGGGTGGAGGAGCAGAGCAGAGACAAAGGAAGACAGACTTTGGAATAACTGCTATGTTCACTTCTTTAGAAAACCAAAGTCAGCCCTTTGGTGTATCATCTGGGTCTGCTGGGACTTGGCACAACTCATCAATAATTTGGGGCCTTAAATACAGTATATAAAACTAACTTTAAGTGAAACAGTAACAGGCCTAGAAGCCATGAGACGTAGAGTGGTAAAAGAAGGCCCACGAGGTCGCTGGGTGGAAGAAGCATCCAAGGCTCGTCATGGTGCCAGCCTGCCCTACCTTGGGATCCTCAGGTGTACATGAGGAGTGCCATCCCCACACATCACTCCTCATGTCTGAAAGGGCCCCAGTAACTACAAAGATGATGTGACATAGGTAATTACCAATTTCCAGGACATAGGTAATGTTTCTTTAGAGCTCTCACAGTCCAGCGCATCTGAAATGAGCCCATGAGTTAGAAACAGAGTTTGTGGTGGCCACATCTACTCAAGACCCTTCACTGGGTAATCCTGAGAAAACCATCCAGTTCCTACAATGACTGCTTCACTTCAGGCCAGCTTTTCCTCCCCGTCATCAACTGCTTCCATCCATCAGTTGCTCTGTATAGGTAATTACTGGGAAGCCACTATGTGCTCAGCAAGAATAGGACATGAAAGAAAAACAGGATATGGTCCTGCTTTCGATAAAGCCCAAGAAAAAACACTGAAGCAATAGAAGGCAGGAAGTATGACACTGGTGTAAAGAGTCTATGAACAGTAGGGGAAGAAAGATTTCAAGTTGGCCAAGGCAGTTGGGGAGCCTGGAGGATGGGGGCAAGGCCAATGCAGAGTAGAAGGG